ACTATTGTCTGATTTCTACCAAGTTTATTATTTGTTACGACCGGTTTCGGTTTATTAGACTTGAAAATTGTCTGACAAACCGAAACCGGTCATAACAAATGATTAATTTAGTAGAAATTAGACAAAAGTTTTTTTTTATTCGAAATTGACATTGTAATTACCCTCTAAACCATACAACTTGAATTAAATCCCGAAAAATCCTACATCATTATGTGGTATTTATACGGTGTGATCCTCTAGGAAATTCTAGACCAGTCCAGAACAATCGAGAGTGTTCGGGGGCTTCGCATCATTCTACTACATACCAGAACAATATAAAACATCTGAAATGTGGTGGAATATTTGGTAACAATCTGTAACGTTCGAAAACATGCCCTATCATTGTGGAACGATCAAAGGAGTAATTTGCTGTGGTAGCCCTCTATCCCCCATCCATGAACAAGTTTCCGTTTTCACCTAAAAGGCGTGCTTGAAGATATATGGGCTAGAATTATCGCCTTATAGACAATTCTAGAATAGTTCAGAACTATGAAGAGTATTTGAGAGCATTCTACAACATCCCTGAACATTCTGGAACGTTCGAGAATAGTATAGAATGTTCAGGCACATTCTGAAACAACTCTGATCATTGTGGAACGATCAAAGAAATTATATGATGTGGTTGCCCACCATTCTCTACCAATTTTTCTTTATTACCTGAACGATCTGGAACGTTCGGTTCAGGTCATTGTGAAATACTGTTAACTATTCGAAGCCTTTTATGTATAGGCGTGACAACTCATTAGTATGGGTATATAAAGTAATTTGAAATTTATCTTTTTATTCCTACTACCACACAATCTCATATCAACATTGTGAAGCTATGTAGCTCTAACAACACAACCACATTCCTTGGACGTCTCCAGGATATCCAGAAAAGGACCGCGGAATATCCCTGAAACAGTCATTATTGGGATCTGGGACATCCTTGTTACACAAATAAAAACATCCACAGGGCGTCCTTCTAGGTATTCCCAAGGAACATATTCTGGATATACCATTTCGTGAAAGGTACGTCTATGAAATACCCCAAAGATATACCATATTATTTCGGGAAGCAACCTTTGATGAAAGATATTAAAAAATAAAAAACAATAATGTGTACCTTGAAAAATGTCAACATGAAATTGAAATACTATCAAATACATACAGAACAAGAAAAACAATGGAATTGAAATTAATCTCTAATACAAAACTACCAGTTCATTAATCACTGAACTATCTATCATTTCACACTGTCCTTTGCCCTTCCTTGAATTTTTCAAGGACCTTCTCTGTTGGTTCTTTGTAAGAGAAGATTTTATATTATTTTCATATATATTTATCATTTTAGGAATGATACTGCAACTGGAAGGTAAATTTTTGATGAAGTTTCATGAAAATTACTTCATACCTCCATACCTAGTGTATGAAGTGAACTTTGCTCTCTGCATTTATTCAATGTTCTCATAAAAGTAGTTATTTCGAAAGTACTTTTTGTTTTGTATAATTCAATTTTCATATGAAAGTAGTTGTTTCGAGAAGACTTTTTCTTCCAGTTTGTGCCTGAAAGTAACTTCAATGCATGATTTAAAAACTTCATTTTGGAGTAAACTGCTTTCTTTCTTTGGAAATTTTCCACATTTTTTGTGGAAAGTAGAAAGCAAAAAGTTTTCTTCCCTAGAATATCAGTTTCAGTTTTGAAGCAAGTAAATACATGTCTACCTAAAGACAACACGAAACAAAAATGCAATGTTATCATATTGGTTTGTCAGGTTGCTGGAATTTATTTTTTTGTGCAATGATTCCTAAGATATTAATTTTAATTGTATAGTAGAAGGGGCAATTATAATGTGCATGAAATGCTTACGATGAGTAACGTATTTATTCCATACAAATAAATATCGTATTCGTCTAAATAGTTCTAATTACCACATTATTTATGACTACTATTTCAAAAATTAAAATAGTAACCTATCCTTAAAAGATATACATATGCCATCGTGGACTTCTTGTATACCTTTAGAAAAACAAGTGGGTTGTTTCGTTATGTCTCGAACGCTCGCAGAAGAGCTATTCACGAAAACATCGTCTTATTTCAACCAATTCACACAAGTCATAAATTATGTACGTAAACCTTTCTCGTGAATCATCCCGTCGATTAGTAAAAACATATGAAAATCCATTTGGTAGGTTTTGACTTGATCGCGTTCATACAGACAGACACGGCGGAGGGCTTCAATTTTTAATATGTATTGATTATACATACATGGTGAGGAATGGAACTTTTATTTGTTTCAAAATGAAGAAAAACTACAATGTTGTTTGTTCTGAACTGAAGTTCAGTCGCATGATGTTGACGACGAGGATTTACCCACTGATTGTCAAGAAATGTTGTTGATTATTTCTGTTAATACAGATTGACCATCGAAAATTCAAAAATGAAATCATTATTCATGAAGTTTCACATGAATTTTCATAGTATCCGTAGTTGTTGCAAATTTAGAATCATTGTTATTTAATAAATTGATTTCATACAGTGAGTACATATTTGTGGGTCAATATTTTCTCAAATAATATAGTTATTTTCTTGAATGTCGTAGTTAAAACTTTCAGGATAGTCTTAGAAACCACTCACCATTAGTTTTCTGTTCTAATTAATTTTCCATAGGTGTTGATAAGGAGTAAAATCGTAAACTAAATATCGAGTAACAACTTTTGTTTGAATTTTTTATACCGGCTAAATTAATCCGTTTCAACAATCAATTATAAAATTGCTTTCAACAACAATAGCGAGTGACAACTTGAATAAATAACCAGCAATACAGTAAAATCTAGTTGAGCAGGACACACCAGTTATCTGTAATGTTGTTATGGTGTGATGCTGACGTTGTCCTGCACTGATATAAAATTAATCTGAAATGTCTGTATGTCATTACCTATTTGGTTGAAAACAATTCCTGCTGCTACAGATTATTATGTGAGGAACCTTGCATATGTCTTCATCAGTTATAATTTCAAATGATACTTCATGCTGGCCCAGAAATTAAACTTCCGAAGACAGCTTCATGCTCATTTTCAAGAGTATAGAACGAACTCCATAGATGAGGCATGATAGTTGAGAGATATGAAAGGTTTTTCAAAATACTTTAAAAATCATTTAGAATGAATATCATAAGAATCCTGAATCTTATAACTGTTAGTCAAGGCGATTATAAAAAGGTTATATTTCACATTTCAGCGTAAAACTAAATGTCTTTCAATATACTTCACGTTCATAAAGGACGTACCTTTTGATACAGTTCGCAATACTCTAATCCAAGGAGGTATGTTAATATCAGTAACCGGAAAACATCAGTTCTCACAGGAATGGCAAAAAACATTGAACATCTCATAAATTGAATTCATTTGCTATTGAATGTTCGTTGAATGTCCTGCATCTCTGTTTTCATCTGCATTATATTCTTGTCATCCTCATTCATATTGTCATTTTGCAGATTGAAAGGCATCGATATTGCAGGGATATTTGCTTACTTAATGCTTTACTTTGCTTTTGTGCTGACAATTTTTGTACTCATTTTCACTTGCACAGCCACATCTGTTGCATTTTCATGTCGTGGGGTACATGTTGCCGTGACTTGCGAAGTTATTAAAAAAAATCACATTCTGGATGTCGATTCAAGATTAAACAGCAACAGAGTTTTTTATCATAGCAGTGAATCTAAAGTTTAATATGATAACTGTCCGATTCTTGGAATGCATGGAAATTCAAAAATTATTTACAGACGAAGTTGGTAAGTTTTCACAATTCAAAAACTCGTAAAAAACTTCAATTCATTCAAATCTAAAGCTGATGTTCGAACCACCTGACAAGTCTAAACTTTTGTGTTTCACCACGCCTATATTTTAACAACACCATAATGGGTAATCTATCTTAGACCGCACACTATGTAGATTGAATGATTCTATTCATTCAAAGGATTATCAGTCACTCCAGAGGGTTCAAAAGGACACCATTAGGATCCCATTCATGAATATTACTGAAGTGGCTTCGACTAAGAAGTTTTGCAAAGTTCTCTGTCAAGAAATGAGAAAAAGTGTCAGTAAATTTCTGTCGTGAAAACGGTTCCTAAGGAGAGGCTTTGAGATTGTGTCAAATATAATCACAAATGACATAAGGTGAAATGAAATACATTCCAATTTCCCTTCAAACTAGAATAGAGCAAACTATATTTCAGAAAATATCTGGAAATCTAGAGATCTCAATAACTACGCCTTGTCACTTTGAGCTGTATACCAAGCTTATTGAAACGTAAGCTGAGCTTACGTTTAGATGACTATATCCCAGGAAGTAAATCCCAAAATATCTTTCATGCCTTCGGCATGGGGTACTCCTGATAGCACCATTCGTACACAGATATATTGAGTATTTGTCGAGAAAAAAGCGTACCATTTTCAACGATTTCTTGACTAGTTTAATCATCAATATTGAAGTAGAATTCTAACCTTTTCCGGGCTTGAAAAGAGGGAATGAAAGAATAGCAAGGAGAATACTATTAGACTGCAGAACACTTCTGTAGGTCTCGAGTCTCAACAAATACTGTAGTGATTTTACTTTTCTGCAGAAAAGTTAAAATATAGGGCATCTAACAGAATGAAATCGAAAAGTTGTTGGCTCATTGTTGCTAACAGGTTCCTTAAGGAACAAGAGAGGTATAAGACTATTTGTTTTATATTCAGTTATCTTGTTATTTTACTATACGCTCTCTTCACATAGCACTGGTAATAAAATATGTAGAACATGTAGAAAACCCAGGTCGCGGTTTGTAAATTTAATTGAGATCTCTTTCTTTTGACCACAATCGAGAGTGTATAAAAACTGTCTTGTGAAAACTAAGTTTCCTGGTGTTTCCGATTAACACTTTCATTCACCGTTTCTCACATAATCAATGATGTGTCTAATAAAAACGGTTTATTTACAGTTGGACCCGGTGAGCCGAACGGTCATGTAGGTAATGAACGACTAACCCATTCACTGCCAGGCAGTCCAGCAGACCGCAGACCGGCATCTTTTGAAGTGGTTGGGTCTGCCGAAAGCTTAGTTGGTCGAATATTGGCTGAACAAGGCTTGGGCAAATACTGTGATCCAGATTTCGTGCGCTACACCTCGAAGGAGATGCAGGAGGCGTTGGACATGACCCAGGAAGAAATGGACCGTGCGGCACACCAGATTCTTCAACAGGAGAAACTCGTACATCCCGCGAGTTTTAGTGATCCCCTTCAGCAGCCTCAATCATAGCAAGACCTGAAAGTTTCTTGAATACCTCCCGCCACACTACCAAGTGCCTAAAATTGATTTCTTCTGGTCCAAAGAAGACTTATAAATAATAAGGTGTAGTTTTTTAACCCGGGTTTTACTGAAAGGGATTGTTTCTCCAGTTAAAATTACATGTACAGGGTGTGAGAGTAAGAGTACGAACTGTCTTTACGATTTTCTAATATCAAATGTGTCAAAATAATAATAACAATAAATCCTAATTTTCATTTAGAAAGTGTATCATTCTCCATTTTTCACATAGAGACAGGGGGTGCATATTGCTTATCCCATCAGCTGTGTAAATGTGCCATGTGTGCCGTTTTCCTCACACGAGTCTAATTACTTTTCAAATTGATCATGAAACGTTTCGAGCACTAAATGCCAATAGTCACATTCCTATTTACAAAAACAATAAATAGAATAAGAGCCGGCTGTGTACGAACACCTTTCGCATTTGATAGCACAACACAACAAAAAAATATTTTTTGAATGTTTCCTACACTAAATTAGTCAATCTCTACTAATTTTGGGGTGATAAAAACGAAAATAACAATGAAAAATTTTTATTAGCTCTGGTTTTTGAGATACACAGTACTTAATCTTNCAATATACATATATATAATATAATGATACTATATCTTGAAAACAAGAGCTAATATATAATTTTTATGGTCACTTTCGGTTTTAACACGTGGAAATACATTAAAATCATCTAATTTCAACCCCGAAACAAAAACTTTATTGTGTTGTGTAGTCAAACGGTTGTGTACCAACAAATCGAATTCAACAAAAATTCAGATTCACGTAGAAAAATCATGAAGGAATGATGTTTCCAAAAATACTATATAAAATGAGTAAAAAGGAAAAAGAGTAGACTACACTAATAGCCAGAGAAGTAAAAATCGATAATTCAAAAAGTAACATTGTTTCAATCCAAAACAAACACTTTTCCCAAACACCATAAACTTCATCTACTGAAAACGCCAATTTGGTTCATGAATCGCACGTCGAGAAGAATATTGGAGTTCCGGTATTCGGGAAAAATGCTCGATTTGGATTTATTCTAGATCAGAGTTTCCAGTTTATTTAAAAGATTAGATAAAAAATAACAATTATATTAAGCAAACAAAGCTAAAGTTACAATAAAATGAAATACAAGCAACAATTAAAAATTGAATAATAACAAGAAATGAAAATCAAAAATTATTAACAAGAAATAAAAATTAAAAATTAAAAGATTTCAAGCCAAGTTACTTCACGACGTTTCGATTGGTAGTATCAATCGGTCTATTGGTTGGTCGTATCGACCAAATAATAAATCAATTTCTGCTTTTCACAGTGGGAAATAAATAGCGACGAATCTTACAAATCGAAGACGTTGCACAGGTTCCTGATGGTTTCATTTCAGCTTCCTGCGCGGCATTAGCTAGGTTAGTTGTTGGTTTTCCGTCGGGTATCTGCTACAAGTACTTACCTACAAAGTAGTTGGTCTACATTAGAAGCAAGGAGTGAGGTGTTTTCACCTGAACCTGGAGCATGTCATAAGCACCTTTCCGGAATATTAATTATTTAGAAAGAGAGAAAACCATCAGTTTTCCTCCACTTCTGTTCATAATACAGATTGAATCTTTCAGATATCTAAACACATCATCAGCAGTTTGATGAATTCGTTATACATAAACTTCATTGGGATGATTCATCTCACAATTCTCTCAATATTGATGTATTTTACATAATTCATTTTTTACTCATTTACTTTATATCATCTATGTACTCAACTTTCATTTAGATGGCACATTTTCAAAGTGTAATCATATCTAAGTATGTGGTAGCCACAGCCAAGCAGCCCTGTTGCTAAATAACTTGGTTCAGGTCACAGATCATATATTTGTTCGACGTCGAATGTCAAAAAAGCTTCGTAATTGGCTGGGACTACACATGTACGAATTTTTTACATGTCATGTGTCAACCTCAAAATTTGATTTTTCCACATGGTCCTCTTCGAGGAACAAGAGGTGGTTTTCTTTTTTAAAAAATGATATATCATCATACACTCTTTTGGCCTGCTGCACACCCAAATATTGTTCAACTCATTTCCTAATTACTCAGCAAAAAGACTACCTTTCTCCCTCTTTCTCCCTCCCTCCTAAAAGCTGCCAATTGGCTAAGAAATGAGATTGGTGAAGTTTCAGCTCAATTGGATGAGGTTTTGTGCCTCATATTATATAAAAATGTTTTTTTATAAAATACCTAACAAAATCGCCAGATTTAACTACATCTGCTATCCAGATTTTGCATTATTTATTTTCTCAATTGGTAGGTACATAAAAAAGGGTGTAGCTAAAACTGTTTCCAAAGTAAATACAGCACAATACAAATTGAAAATGATGGATTTAGGAGAAAATGAAAGCAAAAAGGTAAAAAAAAACAAGAAGAAATAATGTTCGGAATTTTATTATTCAAAATAAAAAAAGAAAGTACAAAAAAACATAATTTTTTAATATTCAAATTTACAATTCATTATCAGGTTGAAGTGCTTTTGAAGGGTCTCAATCTGAAATAATACATATACCTAACAATAAAGACAATTTTTCGGTAATAATCTCTTCACTTCCTCCAGGATACTTCTTTTGCTTCATTTCTGGTCCTCCATTCTCTGTGTCAAGAAAATTCATCTCCATCTCTTCTTGTTTATCTTCTTCTGATGTACTCCTTGTTGAAGATTCCAGTTGTGCAATTAAATGTATATCTCCTGGAAAAAAGGAAATATCCCATTAAACGGTAACAAGCAGTAAGCAAAGCACAAAAAAGGAGAGAAAAACACTACTAACCTACTTTGTTTTATGATTTTTCCAATTTTGCCATCTCAGCTGCTCGTATCTTTTCTTTTCGTTCTTCTGCATTCACAAGATTCATGATTACGCCTCATATGCAGCCAGGAAGCCTCTTTTTTCTCTATAGTAACAAAAACTGCTTGTCTTCTTCTTCAACATTTCAAAATTACCTAAAGAATCGTCTGTTAAATTTATGGTACATACTTAATTAACACCCTGTATATTGTCTTGTATTCACCCATGAGCGCCGGCAGCGGTGTGCAAAGGGGGGCAATTGCACCCCACTGTCTAGAAAGGAAGTACAAGAAAATATTACATACTTTTTAACCGACTGAACCAGCGGGAGGGTCATGCTTTTCATGTCATGTCGGTCATGTATGTAGGTATGTATATATAATATGTATATATCGTTGTATGTATGTATGTATATGACCATTTCGGTAATAGGCGTTAGATTCGTGAAGACCATGCGACTGACAAAGGTTCTATCATTTTTATGAGAAATCAACACAGTCATGTCTATATGGCACAAATGCCGATTTCTGACTCCGGTTATCTTCAATAATGTATAAGGAATGCTGTCGAAAATAGACTGTATTATTGTATGGAACTAAATGGAGGTCGTTTCAAACACTTTATCCGCTGATTGTGTTGCCACTGATATTATTTGTTTTTAATTTCCTCATTAAAATGAACGACAGCGAATGTTCTGTTTTATCTTAAACAAAACGTTCAATATTTAATTTCTCAATAACGAATAAACCATTTTCGAAAAAAAATACAGAAGTAATAGAGGGAAAAAAACCTCTCAAATGATATATCACTTGACCCCCTACGCCATTGAAAAAACAAGGGGGATAGTTACTGACCGCAGGGGAGTGAAGTTTCAGGTATGATTTCCAAATCAGAATCAGTCCCCCTAGAAATAAAAATTGACGTGTTCTTTAAAATTTTCGATTACACGTCCGTTTCTTACTTACAGGGGGGGGGGTCAAGTTTTCGTTGGTACGCCCTATATAGTAATAGATTCGTGAATCTCTCGTTCTTTCGCATTTTACATATTGTGACTTTATATATGGGCCTTGTTTTGATTATGGCTACCTGTATAAGATTCAAAAGATACAAAAATTTTGTATTCATTTTATATACAGTCTTCGACACATGCTCATCTTTCTGAAGAGCGCTTTGAATTGAATTGGCTTACTATGGAATACACTAGAAAACTGCATATGTCTCTGTTTATCTACAGAGTATTGTATTATAACGTTGATGGTAATGAAGATAAGCTGCTTTCAAGAGCTGAAACGCATGATGTTAATATCAGGTACAGATAATTTCATCATGCCACATCACACAACTATGTCTCGAAGGAATTTCACTTATAACGCCGTTAAACTATTCAACTCAAGTCAAGTAAATGAGTTATTCAAGTGAGGTACAGCAGGAATTCCCAATCAATAATGCCAACCATCGACCTATAGTCTAAAGCTTGTCGCCTACTTGTCCGGCACAGCACAGCACGGCGCTGTCCGTCGCCTGAGGGCAACGGGTAGTAGTATCGCCCACTTGTCCAGCTACAACCAGCATACTGAAGGTGCTGTTTGTTTGATTTCAAGGAAATTTCACTTGAAATCGGTGAATTACGTTGTTACTGACCCCGGATTCTGCTGACACTCAGCTACAATTCCTAGGAAAGCTTCTTATCAGCATAGCCGGCCAGAGAGCATCGCCTCGGAAAACGACCTTTTGCATTCAGTCTGATTTTATTCATGTACTGTTAAACATCGTTTTTAATAATTTTTATGTATTGAATAAAAAATAATTTTTTAAAAGACTTTTCGGTTTTTGAAATATGTCTATCACCAGCAGTTCTTACGAAGAAGTCGTCATTATAGTGGCCGCATTATTGAATGAATACGAAAATAGTCACAATAAAGAAGGATGTGGGTCCATCCCATTAATCAAAAGAGGGCAAATCTGGGAAAGTTTCATCATCTTTTCAACGACCTGAAAGAAGACGAGGAAATTTTTCTTCCAGTATCTCCGAATGACTTCAGGCAATATTTTCAGAACTTCTGAATATTCTAAAGCCTGTCTTAACAAGCAACTCAATTTTTCCTCGTCCATTTTCATAGGTGATCGGCGTCGATCACCGGTAGGCATGTGTGCCAGGTCCCATTCCCACATGTGGTTCACTATTGGAATTTGGACGACCGGTATAAAGGCGGCCGTCCACAATCGGTGTGTGTGCAATTAGCCTTAGATTGCTAGTTACGCGTCCTCTCCCTTTTCTTGTCTAAGGCTGTGCCGGACAAGTGGGCGACAAGCTTAATTAAGGCCGCGTTCCACTAAGCGTTTACAATAATCATGTTCTGTGTATATAGATAGAATTTTCATTGTAGTGAAAGCCTACTAGAACGCATCTTGCGTATGATGCCAATGGGCCAATATATTTGATTGAATAATCGCATAATTAGAATTTAACATTGCATTTATCCACCAGAGTTACGATATTTTTACTTTATAAATACTGACATTACAATATATAATATATTTCAGAATTGAGAAAATTTGAAATAACAAAACAAAGGTTTTTTTCATTAAAATTTATTTGAAATGAAAATACTCAGATGATTATATTGGAAATATAAAATCATGTTTCGAATACAAACTGAGAAAAGTGTTTTCTGTGTTCGTATTAAAAGTATTTGTTTCTAAATAATTTTTATTTCGTGACATTCAATGTTTATATGAAAAAAGCTGTTTCAGGAAGGTTTTTTTCTTACAGTTTGTGTCTGAAAGATACTTCTTTGCATGATCTACATATCTATGTATAAAGTACCTTTTTTTAAAATTGATTACTTCCTTCCTTTCTTTGGAAGATTCCCACATTTTTCTGTATCAAGATGGAATAGTAGAAAGCCAAAAACTTTCCCAAAATCATAAGTATTACGAAAATTATTTTATGATTCAGCTCGACTAACTGAATGAAAATATAGTATTTTCCGGAAGTTGCATGGTGAAGAAAAATACAAAAAAGATTCCTAGGAAATCTACTTAAAATAGAATGTATTCTGTGCTTTAATTTCTTCTAAATATGAAATAAATAATATTTGAAACTATGCCAAATATAAATGAAAAGTACCTTATTATTACAAAATAAAACAATATTCCTACTTATTGAAACAACAAAGTAAAAATAAAAAGTACTCAATGTTATTTCATACTTAATAACAAAATCAAGTTATATTCTGTAATGAAAGGGTAATGAATTGAAAAATATAATTAATACTCGCAACTCTGTTATTCACAAGCCATAAATTTATAGTTCTGAATTTTATATTAGTAAATAGTATGTGTAGATGGATATGCACCTACATGAAAGTATTCTTGGAAGCACACATGTATACACCTATACCAGAAATGAAGTGATACAGAATTAGTTACAATCATTAAATAAACTGCATCTCTGCGAAACAAACAATTTTAATGCAACGTTTGAATATAGTATGTTCAGTGATATACCGATTCGATTTCTGCATATGGGTTGTAAAGGCAGCAGTGTGTAAAATCCTATTCAGTATTATCGATATTATTTCAATCCCCGTCGAGTACCTACTTTTTTATCATGGAGGTTTTCAAAACACGCTATGGTTAATAATGATTGAGAAAGTACAAGGAGAAACTGAAACAAAAAACTTTTTCAAAATAATTTATTCCAAATTTTATGTACAACAATGAAAGTCAGTGATTTTATATAGATCTGGTTTAAGTACGTATCAGTTTTCAAATTACGGTATGTGCAGTATTATAAAGAATAAATTCAAATTATCAGATAGTCAACTGGGTAAATAAAATTTATCAAAAATTCAACAATCTACTTGTGCATAAGTTTAATACTGTTCATTTTCATAAAATTAGACGGACATGATCAGATGACTACGAGATTCACAGATTGAGACAACATATCATGCAAAACAGCCTACATCTGATATGGTAATACTCCCTGGTTACAGTGAAGAGAAAGTACCATCCGAGAACACACAGGCATGATTTCCTTTATTGTATAGAACATAGAAACATTTAATGAACATACTTCAGATGTAAGTAGAAATATTGTTTGAATAATGGGTAACTTTATCTATTATACCCTGTACAGACTCCAACATCATAAAATAAAATTTGCTCACACTAGTCCTCATGAATGAACAATATTCTGTTCATTAATTTAAAAAATGCTTCATTAGGATCCTGCAAAACAAAATCAATCAATCATCATAATTCCAGTCATTTCTGTAAATCAGTACTATAGAAATGTTCCATAAAGGCATTTGGTGTAGCAAGTATAGAAAGGAAACGAAGGACACAGCACAACAAAGATCAACACTCTGATCATAAATGACAAGGGCGTAGTTCATATTTTAATTGACCTAAATACATTGACTTTTCTACTCACAAACAATTCAAGTTTAAAATGGACGTTCAACAATAAAAAGTGATAAGACACCATACTAATTCTTACATTTCTTTGTACTCTTTGATTAAAGAGGAGTTCTACTACTACTTAAGTACATTATTCTGAATTCAGTTACACTAATAAGGTACATTTCAGTTCCAAGTACTTGAACCTATTGATATGGAAAAAATAAACAATAAATTGACTAGTTCTAACCCTTGACATGTTATTACGTATATTAGTAGCTGAATATTCCATATGTTCTCGTATGGGTTAGGATATTTAAAAAAATAAACGGTCAAGTGCCCAAAATAATCATACAAAAATATTGTGTATATATAATATGCGTAGAATCTCTCATGGAATGTATCTTTTGTAAGTCTTGGTCGTTTCCTTGTCTAGTCCAGCGAAGACGCTTCAAAGTCAGGAATGTTGTTCAAATCATTGATTTCATTACTCCAGTGGTAGTAAGGTGGGCCCTCGGTTGTGCAATATTTCATTTCAAGTGGGGTGTCATTCTCTACATAGTACATAATGTACAAGTTGCACATTTCATCATTGTTCGTTGGCCTGAAAGTTTGGTATATTTATTAAAGCCAATAAAGATATTTTGTGAACTCAAACAAAATGGCATTTTCAGAATGTTTACGTTACGAATGTTACGTTTTTGGATTTGAAAATAACACAATTTTTCATTGAAATCCTCATAGGAATGAGAATACGCTTCAGACAATTTGACAACTGAACAATCAGGCCATACTTCAAAATGATACAACTTAATAAGTGTATCAAAAAAACTGTCTCTATTTCAATCCAAATAGGTATATTCAAATATTTCAGTCCTACCACTTTCAAATATTTAGTTTACTTTCAGGTATCAAATCCGATAAACTTTTAGACAATGAAAGTAGGAACCACTAGCATTCAACTACAAACATTGTCTATTGTATAAAAATGTTAATCGATTTGAAATAGAATTACTTCACGACTGTTAGATTGTGGCCATCACTAAAGTGAATTTCAAATTGGTTAACATTGTTGCACTCTGTAGGTCTCTAACAAATTCAAGTTAATTCGGTAGGTAAAAGGTCATATGATTCGAATTGTTATTATATGAAGCGGATTGGTGAGATTTAGTATAATGATATGTTTACATTTTTAATTAGTTTTTATCTAATTTCATCACGCAGGTTATTCGTTATTATATAAAGCACACATTGAGTAGAATTTGGTCAGTGTGGAAACGCTTGTGGAAGCTATCGTATAGTGAAACACAAAAATCTGGCCACTCCAGGCAAAATAGATAATATAGGAAACTGGTAAAATGCACATTAGGTGGAATTCAACAGATGGACAACAAAATGAATAAGGAATAATAGCCAGCTTTTCCCTATATCCAGTATCCTAACTGCGCCGTTAGCCGACATAATGAATTATCTGTATTTTTTCTTGACGTACTGAAACTTTCTGTTGTTATAGCAATTCTTAAAAAAATACTGATGATACAAATAGCTTTCAACCTTTATCCTTTATATCAACAATGGGTAGAATAATTGAAAACATTATCGAGAAACAACTTCGACTTTTATGAACGCAATATTGCAATAACATTTAGGTCAATTCGGTTCCAGGAAGAAGCTTTCTACACCAAAGGCACCTCTAAAAATTCTGTGGGACAGATAAGCACACTGACCTGCGTTACCTCTCCAAAGTCTTCGATTGAGTCTCTCATGATATCATTTTGATGGAATATGAAGGAATCAGTGTGTTAGGCTTACTGATGACGTATCCAGTCTTGATTCTGTTGCACATGGTGTAACTCAGGGTTCTATATTAGGACCTTTTCTATTCTTGATTCACACAACTAATCTTTACTATCGTATCTTACCGCTTTTCGTTGCTTTTTTCGAACAAGACAGAATATTCATTCTGGAAGTTGATATGACTCCTTGACCAACATAATTTCAGGTGAGGCATGGTTTGCATGTGAAGGATTGAAATTTATTTGTGGAAAAAATCGATTTATCATTATATCATTTGAAAAACAGAATTCTTTGAAAGCCCGATAAACTGTTAGGTGTGCAAATGGAGTCTCGCATGATACCATTTTGAAGGAAAAGAAAGAAATCAGTATGTTAGGCTTATTGATGACGTTTTCAGTCTTAATTCTGTTTCATATGGTGTAACTCAGGGTTCTATATTAGGACCTCTTCTATTCTTGATTCACACAACTAATCTTTACTATCGTATCTTACCGCTTTTTGGTGTGTTTTTCAATCGATATGTGCTGGAAATCGATATAAGTCCTTGACCAATATGGTAGATGATACATGGTTTGCATGTGATGGATTAAAATTTAATTGTGGAAAAAAATCGATTTATTATTATATCATTTGAAAAACGGTATTCTTTGAAAACCCGTTACTGGATAAAAATGATGCGGTACAAACAAATAAAATATAAAATATTTTTACATTCTAAAGTATTTCGATGAAGCAAAAATTTCACTAAAGAAGCGAATTTCAGTGCTAATAAACAATGATTCCTGCTAAGACAGGGCCAGTGTACAGAAACATGGTTATAAGGATATCCTGATTTGGTTAATACAAGAGATGCAAAGCAAAAAAAAAAAATTGTTAAATTTGAACATACATGTAAAGATAAAACTAACATGAATAATATAATTATCAATTTACTCAATACAATTCACAAGTTATACATCTAAAAAAAGGTTCTGAACTTGACATACACATACGTATCAGATTTTCTATTACAGTAAATTAATTAGTCTTCAAGGAATTTATCAGGCAATGAACATCAATTCGAGGTGTATCAAATAATAACATTTTAGTGGCAGTTTTGAAAGAATATAATATATTTTTGTATTTTATCTCATCTGGGAGATAATTAAAGTATAAGTAAAAAGTATTGGCGAGCCGTAGTTAAAGCTTCTTTGTCCCACTGTTTTCGTTAGAAAAGGAACACTCACGCATTTTTTATTTTTAGTCTTTTGTCATATCCATGGTCAATCAATGATAAAAAGTTTCTTTGTTCAAATATTCGCGTAACGGTTTAAAAATATGTTTATGTTCTTCCGTTAACTAGCTGTCATACCTCTACGAACGGTTTTTGAGAAATAGAGTTGACGTACAACCAAAATTTTATATTCAGTGTGTAACTGCTTTTCATATTGAAAATTTGTATAATTTTTAAGTTTTTTCATTCATACCATCATATTAAGTAGCAACTAGTCAACTAGAAAGTATTATAATATATTCAATAAACACTTCATTGTGAGATTTTCACTAAAAACCTTTACAAAAGGGCAACACGTGTTTCGCTATACAATAGCTTCATCAGGCGTGACATGATAATCAGGTTATCAACATGACACAACAAATTAAGAGGCAATACCCATCAGGTATGCTCAAAGTGAGAGTTTCTGGGAAGAAATATAAATGCTTCAATTATATGGTGGTATTCAATTAGATGGTATTATTCATCTCCTGATGATGTAACGTGAAAATATTGATATTTCTGTTACTATCAAATTAGGGGTTGAAATGGATAATAGCGTTCATTTGCCACTAAACGGAATTCTTGGTCAGACCATTGCTCACCGGACTGTTTAGCCGCCGGTGCAAGTGATACCTAATTTATTTTTATTGACTTTTTTCAATTTTTAGAAGAGTCGGGAGGAGACATTAGTACCACGATGTTAATTTGGTAAGCAAACCACTCGTGTAGAGAACGTGCTGTAGTTCTGTTGTGTATATGCTTTGTGCACATTTTACACCAAAACTTGCAAGTCTACCTATCAGATTCAAACCCGTAAATAACATTCATAACACAAATGAGTATCTTTAAAAAGGCATTATTACTTTTGTATTATATTCGAATCCACTATTATAAGATAATGAAAAATACATACCCAACCTGGGTGATTCGATCTCTTCTAGTAGAATCCATTGTACATCTGGCAGCCTTAAAAAAGATTGTTTCAATATTAGTACATTCAGTTTGTAACGGTTCATTTATGAGACACTCGGACATTTATATTTCATTTCATTCTGGAGCTCACTATAACTAACCTAAACTGTTCTTCAGATTATTGACTTTCTCAAATAGTAGTTCTTATATGAATCAAGATAGCTTTGAAACGACATTTATTTGATTTGCTCAAAGAATTCTCATTGACATATTTACTGTTCAGTGAAATGAAGTTATCGTTTACATTCCATATTCTGACAGGAGTTCATTAAACATACTATACAACTTTTTTTCATTATTCAACTGGAACAACAACAAAATATGAAACACATATTTATTTAATTCAAAAACGGCAAGAAAACTTTTACAAATAACTATAGACCAGTCGCTTTGCTATCAGTGATATCAAAAATCATGAAGAAAGCCGTAAACCACCATATATTTAAATATTTGAAAGGCTTCAACACCTTGAACGATCATGAATGTGGCTTTCGGAAACAAAGATCAATAGGCGACCTTCTATCGTATGTCACCCATACTTGGAATAATGCAATCGAAAAACATGGGGAATCAAGAGCTGTTGTGCTTGATATTTCTAAGGCCTTTGACTGTGTGTGGCATGAGGGTTTGCTGGCCAAACTTTGATGATATGGCTTGTCGGATCATTTTTGTGTATTTCTCTTCAGCTTCCTAAAAGAACGTTTCGTGCAAGTGGCTGTCTATCGATATCTCTCGAAAACTTTCACCATCAACGCTGGTGTTCCCAAGGTATCCATATTGTGTCCAACCCTCATTTTATTGTATCCCAGAATTCAACCCAGAATCTCAGTTATTGCTTTGCTGACACGATAGCATTACATTTGTATTCCAGGACATCGGCTACGGATGCACATCTTCACCGGCAGCAGGAGGTTGCATATCCTAATGAGGATCTAGAAGTAATTTCGAATTGGGGTGAAAGTAATGTCAGGTCAGACAATTCCGAGTTCTGCTTCGATAAGTTTGTTGGGAGTTAAAACGGACACCAATATGTCTTGTCACGTCGCTGGAATTGCAAAGGCTGCTTCTCAAAAGCTTGGAACACTGTTCCGAATCAGAAAACTGTACACACCTTAGGAACTTTTGATGATTTATAAAGCTCAGATCAGACATTCTTTGGAGTATTTCTCTCATGCATGGAGCTCCGCCTCCAAACATACCCTAAAGCTGCTGGATTCCATCCGGAAAAAAGCCATCCGCCTGATTGGAGACGCGAACATCACTTACAACCTTGATAGTCTGGAACATCGAAGAAAGGTTGCAGATTTGTCTCTGTTCTATAGATACTTTCCCTGGAAGTGTTCAAGTGACTTGGCATATTTGATTCCACCAAGAGTGGTACATATCACAAATACGCGACGGACTGTGGCTGTTCATCGTTTTGAGGTTCAACTCAGTACACGTCGAACTTTAATTTTCAGCGATTCAAATCCAATGTGAATCACTACTTTCACACAGGCACCGCTCTAAGAGCGCCTTAATGATTTTCCTGTAGTGCTTGTATTTTATCCATAAAAAAGGTGCTCGAAATGACGACCATCCTGTTGAATACAATGATCCACTCTCTCTATGAAAGACTGCTCAACAGTGTAGTTGGAGGAGTGTCGTTAACCTCATTCTTCAAGTATTCCGATAGGAAAAATTCTGCATTATTTTGTTTGATTTCCCATTCCTTGTCAATTTATATAAGTATATTTATTGGCTGACGCCCTCTCAGCTTACTACAGAACATCTTAACTTTTCAATCAGATCTCAAGAATGTTGTTTTAATCAAATTTCATTTTTTTTAAGTGCGTCACAAGTTTGATATCACAAATTTTTTTCTCGGTGCTTCATACGAAACTGAATAGGACAGTTTTTTATAAAAAAAGACTACTAGTTATTCTAGAAATAGAAACAAAATTCACATGACAAATCTAGCAACGACAAGTTGTGTCTTGTTATTTCACAATGTAATGAACTAACCAAAACCAGGGCGCAATAAAAAATTACTGTTGAGTTTGTGGTAAATCTACAAGAGACGATAATCGACAAGGTTAGAAGTCCTCCATTAGTGGGGAGAGCTTGCTCTCTGATCTGTTTGATCTGTGAAAAAACGATAACCGTCAAAAATCGAAACTTGTGCGCGCTCGGGAATAACGAAGTCCTACCTTTTAACGTGCGATTCCTAGCACACATACAACTTTATCAAAGATAGTGAATAGTTATGCACGTTTATTATCTTAACGTGGGATCACCTTAGAAGGAAATAATACAGCTTTTTACACACGGAAATGATTTCATATGGAAATCAGTTGCTTGTTTATTCGCGTCAAAATATTTTCTACAATAATATTCCTTACGCACCCAAGAATTGCTCAAAATACGAATGTGAATTGACAGGGCAGGTAGCTGCAATGTATATTTCTAAGGCATAGTATATTTCTGCTTCCTATATAGATGGTTTTCACTTTTGATAATTACCTGAATTGGTAGTTAGGTATTTAAAAATATTATGAAAACATTGCGTGAAAGCCATGTGAAATTGAAAAGCTGTCCAAATATCTTATACAATATAATAATACTAAAGTACTCACTACACGGTCTCCATACGAAATAGAGCCATTGTCAAATACTGGATAAAACATCTGAGGTGTAAGTGGGTCTCTTTTTCCCAGCAATTTCCAATGGTCCTTTCCATTTTCATCACGTCTGATAATATATCCTGACACAACGCGTCCTATAAAAAGTATTTTGTATCAATATCCCAGTACATATATGTTGGTTTAGAAGATATCACAGAAAGTATTTCGAACATAACCATGTACACCTTACATTTCGGCTAGTGAAGACTGAGTACTGTTGCATGTTATCCGTAAACCACTTTGACACGCATGAATCGCAGCCATGCTTGTTCAAATTTCGAGAATAAAATGCCTGGCATGAATAGATGAAAGTGAATCACAGCGTTACCTTTATTTTATCAGTTTTAGATATGAATGCCTGGAATAGTTTATCTCAACTTTTTCAATTTTATCGTCTGTTGTGAAAACTATCGAAAGTTTCCGTAAAAAATAAAAGGTTAAATTTTTACAAATTGTAGAATACAAGGAGGTTTACCTACGATGTTGGGTAAACCTTACTAGGGTCCTTAGCTGACCTTGGACTCTCTCTGATATTTTTCTTTGGCCTGAATATTGCTTTCACGTTGTATTTCTGGAGAGTCTGACGTCACTTAAGGATCTTAGAGAGCATTTAGCAAAACCGATGGTATACCAGATCCCTCGTATTTGCGGGTCGGTCTACATTGGAATCAGAAAAAAAAATGTAAGTACCTGACACGTTATATACAAGAGAAATTGTCGCCTGGGCAAATCGATAAATCAGATGTAGCCTAACATGCTTTCGAAGAAGGCAGTCACGTTATCTCGTTTAATGAAATTCAAATTCATGTCAAAACTCAGAATTACTATCCAAGAGTATATTGGGTGACGATAGAAATTCAATAACATAGAGTGAATTAATATGAATCAAATTTGATTACTTATTCTCACTTGAACACCGGGTGACTCGGACTGTAAAACGCACTAACTTACATGGGATTAGGCAGAACAGAAAGTTCGGAATATGTGGAGGAACGAACATCTTACATGTTCTTAGATCACATGACACCGAAATACATGTTTGACACAAACTTCACGGTCAAATTTTCAGACCACGAAGAGTGGAAAATAAATAATCATCTCGAGAACATGCTCGTCAGAAACACTTGGTATACAGACGGCGAAAACCGAACATGACACGAGAGGAATACACTGTGCGGGGAGAAATCTTCATTTCATTTTCCCACTTGATCAATAACCATCAGTCTTGCAGGGTGAAATATATGCAATCTTGCAATGCGCAAGTAATATTAATTTGAAACTTCATCCAAGTGAACGGATCGTAGACAGCCAAGCTGGACTTTGGGCACTGACGAACCCAAAAGTGACATCGAGACTGGTGAGAAACTGAGGAAACTGGCGGATAGAAATAGATTGATCATATACTGAATGCCAGGGCACTAAGTTATCATGGACGAAAAAGCTGTGTGCCAGACACGAATCCTCAACAACATATACTACCAAAGTCTTTAGTACAGAACTAGATTGGGAAATGACAAGAAGCGTAAAGAATACTGAGAAAACAAATTTGGGACCAAACACGAGAACACCTTTATAAAGGGATAGTCCTCCGGAAACCGGAGGCACAAGGTCACCCATTTGTTTTATATAGATGATCTTAAACTTTATGCCTCTGGAGGGAAGGATCTCCATCAGTCCTTGAGGGTGCTGGAAGAGTACACGCATGCTATCAGTATGACATTTGGGATAGACAAATGTGCAATGGTTCATCTCAAAAGATGACGATGCGGGGACTACGGAGAGGATGTACAGCTCGTAGATGAAAGCATCCTACACCATCTGGATGCCGGAGAGACGTATACTTACCTCGGGGTGGAACAACGCCACTCACAAGAAGTAACAGCAGTGAAAAACTCTCTCCGCGGCAAGTATCAGCACAAACATCGATAGATCTGGTCATCGGAACTGTCGGGGAAGAACGAAGTTGCTGCAACAAATATGCTTGCCGTTCCAATCTTACTCTACTCCTTTGGAGTAGTGAAGTGGACTCGGGAGTAGCTGTATCAACTCGACGTTGATATGAGTTTGCATTCCAAATTGTCCGTTCCACGGTTTTACTTTCTCCGACAACAGGGAAGCCGTGGACTTTTGAGTTTGGAGTGTCTACATAATAATAATAGCTTTATTGTCCAACAGTTACCCATTTACAGAACAATATGATAGAATGGTACTGGATGTAGCCTATAAAGTCGTCAGGAGTTCGAATCCCCTTTTCTACATGGTTCGCGACCATGAGAGATCAGGAATTGAGCATTTCTCGTTAGGGCAGCTGTCCGAGCAGCTGAACTCGATTTAGTTTTCGACACTGAACCAGGTGATCACAACTCTGTCACCGAGTTGGAACCCGTCCAGCAAAAATCTCATATAAAAGCCGCAGAGATCACCTCACTTCTGCGGAAACACAACGATAAGCCAAAGCATGATGAGCCAATATCTTCAATAACATTGAAGATGTTGGCTTATCAAAGCGCCTGACATTTGCTTTTCGCAGGCCGAGTGGGCTGAAGTCGGGTTTATCATGGCTTGTCAGGATGGTGTTTTCAACACCTTAGTCTATCGCAGTCGCGTGATGGGTATAGAGGTTTTTGACACATGGTGCAGGGCCTGCCGCGAGGCGTTCGAGACCCTAATGCACTTGCTATCAGCATGTCCAGCATATGCAGTCTCGACCTATATCCATTGACATAACGCGGCCCTTAGAGTGCTATATTACCATCTACGGCACTCTTACGGTATTGACGAGATACCGGTGCTGCCCTACGCTCCGGGGGATATTGAATCCGTTGTGAGAAACGAGAAGTGCTGAATTTATTGGAACTATTCGTTTCCCACCCTCAGGCTCATACAAGCTAGTAAGTCTGATGTATACTTCTTCTCGACCACCAGAGCAAGACGATATTTTGTCGTGGAGTTCTCAGCTCCTGGCGAGACGAATATCGTCCGAAAATAGGAGGAAAAACGGATAAAATATATATCGAGATTTTCTCTTCGAACTTCGCAGACTCTATCCAGACCACTGTCGAGATGGTTGTTTTGATTATTGGAGTTCTTGGTGGAATGATGCCCTCTCTACTCTCCAGGCTTGCCGCACTAAGGCAGTAATCTTAGCCGGACACATGCAGAAGGCTGTCATTCTTGGGTCAGTGCGCTTGCTCAGGGCACATGATTTTCGGTTTCAATGAGCACTCACCCCACTGTGTGAGGAATGGTCGTTGGTTGATAATGCTGGCGCGCCCTCCCGAATGTATCGGGGTTCGGGGGATAGGGCCTGACCAGCGCAAACTAGGGTTGGAATAATAGTAATAATAAACGAATTCGACACCAGATATAACATGAAATACAAATTAGAAATAAGAAAATACAAATTAGTCGATAGGATACAAGATTGAACAGAGTTGATTTTTCCTCTTGCACCTAACAAAGAAAAAAAATGAAAAAGATATAAAACGGAAAAAAAACAAAGGGCCTATATTGTAATTGTAATTGTGATAGCGGGTAAAATATTTTATTCGAATAATGAGGGGAGATAGGCGGATATCGATGCAAACATAAGAATACTACAATTATTTTAGCTATAGCCTACACGAGCCAGTGTGTCTTAATATTCGGGTATTATTGTTTTTTCAGAAGATGTTCTTTCAGGCAGTACCTGAAACTGGAAACATATTTCGATTGAAAGGAAGGTGCAATGGAGTTCAATGGAGTGTCTAACAACGTGAATCATTTTACGTCTGATGTTCACATTATGAACATCAGTTCGATACGTTATTTTGTTATAGAGGTAGGGAGGTGTTCTATTGACAATAACTTTGTGTAATAATGTCGAAGAATGAGTCCGCCTATCGTACATTTTCAGTCACCAGTCACCAGTGTATGAGAAATCGGTTCTCTTTTCTTGATACTGTACGAAAATATCAAACAAGATTTTTGAACTCTATAAATTCGTTGTTGCTCATTTTTGTTCAGAAAATAATGATACACTACGTCACAATGGTTGAAATTAAAAAGTATCAACGAGGCAGGAATCGGCTAAGAACAATTGCAGGGCTACTCACTGGATTATGTACACTGAGAGGACACCTGAACAAATTAGGGCTGTACAAAGGGAACCGTAACAATGTAGCAAAGGGAAAGAGACAGTTCGTCATATTTTATGTGAATGCGAGGCTTTGGATCTCAATAGACAAAAACTTTACGAACAATCTAGATTATGTCTAGAAGGATATCACATACGTTCAGCAAGAGGCCTGTATAGACTAATACAGGAAAAAAGATTGTTGGAATGGGTGTCATGAAAAAGATGGGGGGGACGCAATAAGCCCTTGAGGCAGCAGTGTCTTTTGGAGACTTGGATTAAATGGATTTAATAGGTGTTCTTTATCGTGAATATGTGAACAAGACACAAAACAACTTTACAGTTAACATCTATTAACGGTTGAGTGGACCTCCTTCATTTTTTTGTTCATTCATCTAGTGTTTATTATATAGTTTACTACCAATGAAAGGGTTATTGGCGTGTCAACATTGAAAGAAAACGACAACTGACAGCAGTCAACAAACTATTCGTAAGAAAATGTGTCATATAAGTATAACGCTCAATGCGATGGTTATTTTGGCGATTTGCGATTCGCCACTAAAATACGAATATTCAGATAAGCATGAACGAACCTTAACCGTTACATGCCGAAACACCATTTTTCTGTTTTATCGGTCTCTTACATTAAGCATGGCGACAAGTTGGTTCGAGTAAATAGGTTTCGTGTATCTGTTCCTGCCTACATGCAACAGTACCTCGTTCGGTTACATTACAAATGAATTGATATGGCAAACTCAAAACACTTCCGAAAGCGGATAGTGTCATTTGGTAACGAGCTGGAGTAACGAGATATTCTTACCTAAGGTGTGTGTATGGGTCCTGTATGCGAATGGATGTATCGTCTTGTACTCTGTTATCTGACACGCTGTCTCCATGTGCGTTATAGTTCTTGGGGGTATCAGGCCCCCTACTCCTAGTAATAGGACACCGGCTAATTTATTTTGGCTGAAACATTGTTAGATTTTAACATAGCCGTTGCAGTGATTCATTCAAGATCATAACCATATTTACATTTGAAAATTGAATTCTGAAATCATTACAAATAACAAGAGTTATTACTTCAAGAAATACAAAAAAGAACTGTTCAGTCTTGGCAAGCCTTGTATTTATTTTGTATATAGTCGATGTTTGTTGAAGGAGTTGAAATTTAAAAATACCCCGTATATTTTTAAGGTTTTAATTGTTGGTGTTTTTTTGATAAGGGAAAAACTGAGTGTTTTTTTGTATTATCGCGAAAAATGTGGTGCAGTTAGCTTCAGAATATCGGTTGAAAATAGTGTCAAGTTTGTTCGATTTGATGATACGAGGTTTTGAATAATTTGTGGTTTGTGGGTGTCATCTGAGAACGCAGTCAGGGAGAGGAGTGTTGGTTGCATCACGGAAGAATAACGCCCCGTTAAGAAAGGTGAGTCGTTAGCAACCACTCGAATTTTTGTTTATGAGAAAACTTACGGGTAGCTCGTATGATGGCTATGCCAACGCACATACAGTTAAATTTGTTACAAGAACTTTGTGCAAAACTATTCAAATTTTCCAACATCTTGGAATATCGTATCAAATTCAGTTTGACTCAATGAATACTCTGACTCGTTACTTGATGAAAATTGAAAACACTATTCATGACAATAATCATAAAATTTTCACAATAAATATGTTACACAATGAAGATGGGTTTTGTGTCTAATTGATGAGGTTAATGTGTATCGAAACAGTATTCTGAAATTTTCATAATTATTATTGTGGATAGTTTGATATTAAACGGACCATAAAAATTCGGAACTGGGCAAGTATTATACCATAGGTATTCATCATAGTGCTTGTTCTAGAGGGTGTTATAAAATAGAAAAGACTTCGGTCAAGAAAACGATTGAGTCAAGAGCAAATAAGTTGAAAAATGTTAATAGGACACGTACTTGTACAGCACAAATGAAAAATTCATTTCAATTTCAACTCTGAATGAAACGAACAAAGATCTGAACTGAGCAAGAGAGGTTAATTACTATAATGAAACATAGAGATCCTATGGATAGTACAGAATTTATTGATTACTGCAGTACCGCAACAATTCTCAAGATTGGATGCAAAACGCATCGTTCATTTCGAAAAAGTGACCGTGAAACGAATTTTCAAGAACAACTACTCTATATGTATACTTAGTGCAAAAAAACTGAAAAATAATAACAGAAGTCAACTTTTTGTTAATCGATAACTATCAATGAGTTTTTTATAACTATATACAAACTGAAATGAAAAAAAAACTTTGATCTATGATTGAGCTGTAATGTTTGTTTTCATACAATACTTTTCTTTAATGTTCGCCCCCTTTTATTTTTTGAACGGGTCAACTCAAAAAATTGAAATTTGGGATAATGAAATTAATGTATGAATACTTTATTTTGAAGTGAAATTGACAGACGAATCTTTCAAGATGGCGACTGGGCGCCATCTGGGAAAAAAATTGGAGTCTTGTGACACATCATTTTGAAGCTCCTGACGAATACTTCACAACCCTAGAATATGAAGTCAATAAATTCAACTACTACAAAATGACGGAACTTTCAATAACTGTCTGAATACATTGACATTCAATCACATATGAGGTCCTACAATATGGTTTCCCAATATTCCTGCCCAAATGTAATTATACCTGGATATTAGGTATGTGTTTCCCGAAAAACCTGAGGGTTGGCATCACTCCAATGATGGCAATTTTGTCTGGGACCATTGCCATTTAAAAAATGTACCATTATGGATAACATTATAGATTGGTACTAAAGAGCCCTAAGACAAGTGTCTTACGGCGAAACATCGATGTCTACCAGTAAGGATGATAGTGTTCCATGTAAGTGCAATTTGTTACCACTCATTTTAAGTAGAACTCCTGTGAATGATATCTGATTTTATTCCATAACGAATGTTTGGAATACAAACTGAGTAGAGAAAAGTATCTTCTGTATAATTTCAGTGTTCATATAAAGGTTTTTGTTTCGAAAGAATTTTTTCTTTCGTGTAATTGAATGTTTATATGAAAGTGGCTGTCTCGGGAGGCCTTTCTTCCAGTTTATGTCTGAAAGTTGCTTCTTTGCATGATCTACACATCCATGTATAGAGTTACTTATTTCCAAATTGAATACTTCCTTCGTTTCTTTGGAAGATTTCCACATTTTTTGTATCAAGATGGAGTAGTAGAAAGCCAAAAACTTTCTTTCCCGAAATAGGAATATTTCTAGAAATATCGATATTAATGTTTGTCTTCAGGAAATTATTAAATGTTCCTCCATTTTGTAGTAGGTGAAGTTATTGACTTCATATTCTAGGGATGTGAAGTATTCGTTGTGAGTATTTCACTTGAAAATAAAGTATTCATGCATTAATATCATAATCCCAAATTTCAATTTTTTGACCCGTTCAAAAAATAAAAGGCGGGGACATTAAAGAAATGCACTGTATATATTCATTATCATCATTTTTCATGATACTCAAACCAAAAATCTCTTTTCTCCATATTACATCCCGAATCTTGTCTTCTAGTTTTCAGTCAAACCCGTAGATGACGTTATCACCACTGCATAATTTACTCTATAGTTTATGTAATGTGAATATGATTTTAGTTCAGAGTTCTAAAATTATGAAATGATCGAAACATCTCTTTGAAAACTGGTTCATGCCGGATCATAACATATATGAAAAAAGGAAGAGATATTTTTTACTTATTTTCACATTCATTCATATTCATTCGAAATAAACGCCGTAGAGCCAAGCAGGAGAGTAATACATGTTGATAATGCCATCAAGTATTATTATTAAGAGATTTTTTTTAATCATAATTGACAGTTCTCTATGAATTTGTAAAAAATGTTTTTTGAAAATATTGAAATAGTCCATTTGTTTACTTATTATGTTATTATGTTGATCAATAAAGTATTTTTGACTACCAATAGATAGTGAATCCTGAAAGGAGAAATAAAACTCGAAATCAGACCAAAATACTTATTTATATCTATAATACTGGCCGTAAACATGAAGAGAGTTCAATTTTTCGTCAAATATGTAATGCCTTATCATTGCAACTTGACGTTATTATCTTTTCAAAATGTCAATACAATTAATAACCTTTCTCTACGGAGCAAAGAGTGAAAACAGTGAAAGATAAGCGTAAAGAAGCTATTTAAATGTATGTTAATGATCAGGATGAAACTCTAGATTGAATATTCTAAGTTGATTCAGTTTTTAAATCATTTGATAGACACCTTTCATATCATAGCACTTATAATGAATCTAATAAAATATTATTCAATACAGCCATAGATTTTTTTGTAAACTCAAAAACAATCATTCAAAGATGAAAAATCATCACAATTACGGGAACAGAAACAAAAATTCTTCATCTTCAAAACCTCTAAAAATACACTGGCAATTCCTGTTGCATTTCAAAAAGTATCACTGAAACTACTCGTTGCAGATTTCAGAACGGCTAAGGTTAATTATTTTTGGCCCCAACTTCATTACAAGCTATGAAAAGCAATCGACTGGTCAAATTGTTGGTTTTTAACACCTAAATTTTTTACAGCTCCTGCCACAACTTTTTGTAAAGTATCTTTTTATGTCATGGAGATATCTTTGAAGTGTGCCCATTCTATATATGGCAAAATGTCTTTCAATTATATTTTTACGCTAGGTACTGCTCTTTCCTTTCATCGTATCATCCATCAGAGCCGTAGAACTCATAATATTGAATCACAATTATTCTCTGTGGTTATTTGTCATATTTTTCTGAACATCATTTGGGTTATCCATGAATCACTTGCCACCTGTAAATCAGTGCCTCACATTCAAATAAAACATAACAAGTTGTTACTGTCGTTTTTTCCAGTATCCTCTGAATGAATAAACCTGCTCTGTTGTAACAGTTCATCAGTTATTTTATCTGATGGTTCCTTTATATTGTCCCAAATGTGTTTCCAGGTGTGTTTCATCAATTTATTTATTGATCTGGTCCCGTACCATTGATTCGTAACTTTGCAATCAAAAGAAGATCGAAACCGGTCTACAGTTGATTATCACAGGTTACACAAAGTTTGTAATGTGTAAGAGAAAGAAATTTTTCACAGAAATAAATCGTATGTAGAATAAAATTGAACCAAACTATTTGTCAAACGGTCATATTTCTGATTTTAATCCAAGTAGTGTCACTTTGTCAGCTGTCATTATTGATACTGAGAATTCGCTTCATTTTATTTCAGAATCAGCAGAATTCTCCGCCAACACAACATAGCAACATCATTCCTACCAGAACGTACAATAAAGTCCATGCTCCGTAATCCAAAGGACTAGATATCACTGGAGTCTCAAGGAGTTTACTAAGTACGCCGTTTCCATCACGACTGTGACAAGACTTACATCAGCCAGACCAACAGACGAATCAACATACGCAAGGATGAGCACAAATTTATTAGTGAAGGGAAAAGTCACAAACGTTTTCTCTCTTACAACGTGTATTGGCGACAGGACACAACATCAATTTCAAGATCACTGTCGAACAGTCAGAGGCTATCGAAATTGAAAAACAACCTAGTAGTATGAACAAAAGGGGTGACGCGCAAAGATTAATTACCGTCAATTGGATTGGATATTTTCGTGACTGTGAATAATACAGTGCGACGGTATTACGGTACTAAGGGTTGGAACTTCATCACTGGAATGCTAGATGACGTTAAAGTAGTACTTGGTTGAGCTCGATCCATATCCAGAATGTGTCTTTTCTAATGTTGTGTTCAGAACAGTTTTTAATCCAGAGTTTCATGTCTCAATGAACAAAATAAAAGTATGTTAAAATAATGTTAAAATGTTAAAATTAGGAATGATAATTGAAATGCTCACGTTGTGAAAGTGTCTGCGAAATGTTAATGTGTTGTGCCAGTAAGGGTGAAAGGAAGCCACTTAACACCAAAGATGGTTATGGGAGAACCATGCATAGAGTACTTACGGTTCTTCAGTATACATTAAGAAAAGTCCGGAGTTATCTGTTTTTCTTTCTGAAAAGAGAAAAATTTTTGAAAAATCAAAAAACCACACCAAAATGTTTGAAAATTTTTAAAGCGTATGACTAGCTTCAAAAAGATATTGCAGTAGTTCTTACCAGGGAATTTTTTCGAATAATGTATTTGCAGAACGATGTATTGTATGGCTGTTCCTTGACCGACTTGGAAACCAACATCTTCGGGTAATTCAAGTGTTCTAGCATCTCTGGCCCAGGCATATAGGACCTTAAAAATATCAGCACATGCATAACTGAATTAGGCAATACATAAAGGATTTTGAAGCAAGTCGATGAAAATGAATCTAAAATAAACTGCATGTCTTGTTACAGTAACCAGCTTTGCACTTTTACTCAATTAGTAATACTGGAAAAGTTTAACCAGTGCTTCATACGATTCGATACAGCAAGTAAATCAAATAATCTAAAACAACAATTCGTTCAGGCCAGTCTCAACTCCCTACCCTGTAGGTTAATGGACTGACACCTATCAGAAAACAACTACTCCCCTGGCTAATACCACGAAGGGCGTAGGATTATATCCGACAGGTGTCAGTGCAGGTGTTGACGATACAACTGCCGCAATAGATTTTCAATTATTGGAACATACTTGCAGATCGGTTTCGGGCTGTTTGGCCACTCGTCAGTGCAAGGTAGTGTCTATCATCAACATAAAGTCGACGATTTCCGATAATTGGAAAGCGAATTCCGTCAGAGTATCATTCCTCGAACTAGGCTGAAGCGAACAACAAACAAGAAATTTGTCATCGCCCCATCTGCCTGTGAACAAGATAACCAACCGCATATCCGAAATTTGCCCAATTCCTCCTATAAGGAAAAAACTTTTCATATATAGTCAGTGAGCATACTTGAAGACTGGCTATAAATCAAATCATCTAAAGAAACAATTCGTTCAGGATACAGTGATGAATCCTGCAAGACACCTGTCGGATATAATCCAACGTCCTTCGTGATATTAGCCACAGGAGTAGTTGTTTTCTGATAGATGTCAGTCCATTAACCTACAGTGTAGGAAGTTGAGACTGGCCTGAACTAATTGTTCTTTTAGATGATTTGATTATGGCCAGTCTTCAAGTATGCCCACTGACTATGTGAAAAGACAAGTAAATGCTTGATACAACAATTATTGAGAACAATGAGAACAATCTTTCATAGTTAAGATTTGATTTAGAGAAGGCAGAGATGAACTAAAGTTCTCTGATATCGTAGAATGTTGGAATCGTGTCACATGAATTCAGGGGTGCTGATTCCAAATAGGACTTTGCTTTGATATTATCGGTATGTTTGTCTTTTACGAAAAATATATAAATGATCATGAAGCAAGCTAAAAACATTAATTCATTTTAGGTGTTTTCGAAAATATTTAGCTAATAATGAATTTTAATATTTACTCTAGTTGGCAATTCAAAGCTCCAAACGAGTGGACCGATTCTTAAAAGCAACGCGAAAATTTATAGGGAACTGAAAGCCCATCAAAATTATGTATCACTCGACCCCGATTCGAAAAACATTGAAAGGTGGAAGGTTGAAGGTGTTGCAATGATTTTTAGGTCAACCTTGCAGAACGTTGATAATGACCCTCTCTGAATGTACAGAGTGGGTCAAATTTTGAACACTCTTAAATGGAAAATGCTGTTTTGAAACTAAATAAATGAAAACTGATGGCTGTGTCTGACGATCAAATTGTATGACAAACTCAATGGTGAAAACCGCATATCGATATCTATCATCGTTTCTGAGTTACAGTTTTTCGAAAATGTGCATTTTCGAAAAGTTGCTGTAACTTTTTTGCTGTCAAAAATGTTTTGTTTATATGAAAACATTTCCTTCTTTGCGTAGAATTCAATGGTGTAATAAACTCATTTTTTCAAATGAGATATCAGTAGGGATATTGATGAAAAACTATTTTTTCAATACGACACCCCGTATATTCCTGCATATTTCAATAGAGCTTAAAATTACCTTTTCAAAAATGTAGCACACTTGATATTTTGCTAGAGTCATCTTTGAAATACAGAGCTTTTAGTTTTTTTCATGTAGACTTTGAAACGCACATTTTGATCGAATAGGCTTTGGACGATGCGGCGATAAAACAGAATACAAATCTTTACTGGTAGCTGTCAAATTTTGATGGAAGCACAGGCGCTCTTCAATTAGTGGTTTTTGTTCAATTTTCAAACACATTTGCAATGAAGTATGAGAATTATGAAAAATGGAATATGATAGTCTGTTTTATGCAAACCGGGGAAAATGCAGAAGCAACAAGCAATTTGTATCACGAGAGGTATCCAGAGAGAAAACAACCTTTTAAAGATATTTTTGCAATATTGCGACACTACCTAATTAATGGTGGTCAATTTGAAAAGAACAGGCTAAAATTATATGAATCAAATAGGGATAAGGAGTTGGAAAAATAGTCGTTTTGAGAGCTGTTGAAAATAATCCCAAAACGTCAACGCGAAATTTGAATCTATCAACAGGACTACCAAGAAGTAACGTTAAGCGGATTAAAAAAAAAAATCTAATTCAAGCCATACAGGACCAGAAGAGTTAATCAACTCAGACCAGAAGATTTAAAACGCCTCAGGCCTATTTGCCAGTGGTTCCTGGAAAGTGCGTGATTTTTCGTTGAATTGTATTTGGACAGACGAAGCTCATGTGAGCAGTGCAGGCATTTCCAACCTCTACACTTCTTATACTTGGACACAATAAACTACTCATTCTAATGTCGAGCAGAGAAGTCAAGGAAGAATGGATTTAGTGTGTGGGCAGGTGTTTTCAGGGTTAGAATTATCGGCCCGGGCATTTATAATGGCACTCTCACATCTCAGAGGTATTTAGAAATTTTAGGGCAAAATATTGAACCCCTTGTTGATGAGTTGCCACTAATGGAGCCCATAAAAAATATATTTTCAACAAGACGGGGCTTCATCTCACAACACTGCAATTGTTACCAATTTTTTGGCTGCAAATTTTGGTAATAATTAGATAGCCAACCAAGAACCCAACCGTTGAACGGCCAGGTCAACGGACCTTAAGCCTATGGACTATTACCTCTGGGTATGGTTGAAAGGTTTTATTCTTGAATTCCCGACCAATTCTAGATACAAATTCAGAAAAGGTGTCGCCTGTGTGTAGGAGAAGCTGGTAGACATTTCGAACACCATCTCAGAAGAAATATATTTCATTGTTTGTTTTTCATCATTATTATTATTATTGTTGAAGTTTCATTTATTAGTAGTAAATATAGTATGAATTAGTATCAGTTTTATTCAAATTATGCGTTTTAATTACTGCTGTGAAAAGCTTCAACATTTTATAGCTACCACTGAAAAATTTCTTTCTGTTTTATAGCCGCGTCGTCCAAAGCGTGCTTGATCAAAGTATGCGTTTCAACGTCTACATAAAAAAAAAACCTAAAAGCTCTGTATTTCAAAGGCGACTCTAGCAAAACATCAAGTGTGCTACATTTTTGGAAAGCTAATTTTGAGCTCTATTGAAAGTTGCTGGCATATACAGTGTGTTACATTAAAACAATTGTTTTCCATCAATAAATATTGATCTCATTTGAAAAATGAGTTTTTTACACCATTGAATTCTACGTTAAAAAGTGCTTTGAAAATGTTTTCATAAAAACAAGAAATTTTTGACAGGTTAAAAGTTACAGCAACTTTCTGAAAATGCACATTTTCGAAAAACATGTTGTAACTCAGAAACGATGATAGATATCGATATGCGGTTTTCACCATTAAGTTTGTCATAAAATTTAACCGCACAGCAACTTTTCATCTATGTCGTTTAAAAACAGGAGTTTTCCTTCAAAAGTGTCCGTGTCCAATTTGGCTACTCTGTACATTATATACCCATCCAGGATCCTTAAAATACATTAAAGTTAAACCGTCTTGAATTGGAACTTTCTAGTTTGAATACCGAAACTGTGTCATATTTCGAATTAGCAAACCCAAGAAAATGGAAAATAACATACACCTGAGAAAAATGTGTCTCAATATCTATTTTTAAAGGATAAGGATAGTATATCTCAACTTTCTTGAAATCTCATTCAAAGTCTTTTGAGATAAAAACCTTCAAATCAAGTAGTAGTTCGGATAACGCGGGTACTACAAAACAGGAAACTTCCAAAAAGCATTCCAGAGAACTTTTTTCAACAATGAAACTTACATGATTTCCGTCGGCGCAAGGACTTGCCCTTCTCAAATTGCTAACCGAATCAGAAACAGCCATTTCACCACAATCCCTAAAACATTCATAACAATGCAAAGTTTGAAACGGAACAAATAAATTATCTGAGTGTGAAGTTATACATATCCACAAAGTGCAGTGTTTTCATTGATTTCATCTCTGGATATATTGTTTCCTAGTTGCTTCCTGTAACTGATTTGGTGGTATGAATAATATATGTTCAGTACTGTCAACCCAATAAAACTGTTTTGAGCGAGATTGATGTCGAATATATGTAAAATCCGATCGAATAGCGCGAAACATAAATTCATGGTAAAATGGACATAAGAGTGGGGCACCGAAAACGAAACAGATCGAATATATTCAAAACACATGTTTTCGGAAAAAAATGCAAAAACATGTCGATTTGTAATCCAAGGGAGACATCTTTCTATAATAACCTCAATTGTCATACCTCTCCCCCCACTCCTCGGTCACTACATCTAATAAACTCAAGAACACCAAGTAATCTGTTAGATTAAATTATATTTTCTATTGTTTTGATATATCTTCTGTCTTTATAAATTTTCTTATGAAGCTTAGAGAAGTCATTTTTTCTATATAGCATAGATTGGTTTGTTATATCTTCTGTCCTTGTCACTTTCCTAGAGAAGGAACATACAGTCGAAACTATAGAGAATAACTAGTTTTTTGTCAACATTTCGCAAAATTCATTTGCAACCTCAAGACATTGCGACAATAAAATTGTCACATTGCGACAATAAAATTGTCACAATGAATAAATTGAATTAATGATAAAATTACAAGATCAATTGATACAAAAAAAACTTTAATTACTCTTAAGATTGTCCGTATGTCTACGAATTTTCAATGGACACAGCCCAGTTATTGAAATTTCAAGAATGGTTTATACTATCAACAAGAAACTCAATTGAACCAATGCAAGAAATGAGTTTCTTCTTGTGAATACACATATATTTTTGATAGTACGAAGGTTATCATTATCATTAGTTGAAATCATTATTTCATATCTTTTGTTGACACTAGCATTATGTTTATTTAATTTCAATCACTCCATGTAAAAATTGAATGGAACTGACTGTACTTAATGACAATTCATATCAAAACTTACTGATTTCTGTGATTACTGTGATTTCCACTTCTCTTTCCACGAAAATAATTGTGCAGGAAGTGCGACGTATATTTCGATATCGTCGATAAGACTACAATATTCCAATTTATAATGATAACAATCATTGTACTAGGAATCTATTTAATCTAAAAATACACAGGCATTTACAAGAAAAAACTTTCATTCGCAAAATGTCTATACCTGAATTGTGCTCATTTTGTAAAGTCTTATAAGTTCAGATTTCTTTTTGTTTCAAAGTTTGTTTTTTCCCAACACCGAACCGTTATTTTAACACCTCGACACGTGTTTCGATCACCAAGTGATCATCTTCGAAAGGAAGATCAAAACAACCTTGACACGTGTTTCGATCACCAAGTGATCATCTCCAAGAGGAAGATCAAAACAAATAGTTTGATCTTTCTCTTAAAGATGATCACTTGGTGATCGAAACACGTGTCGAGGTGTTGAAAATAATGATTTGGTGTTGGGCAAACTCTCCACTAATATTCATTACTACACCAAAGATTCCAAACAGTGCTTTAACAGTCATAATTGTACATTTTCTAATTTTATACTATTATTGAATTTATTGTTACAATTTAGTGCCCGTGAGATGTAAATAAATTTTGAGAAACGTCAATTTCTTCAGAAATCGTCCTCGTTCAGAAATCAACATTGTTGGATTGTTGAAAAAATAGCACTACTTCAATACGTTTGATTTTTGTCTAGCTGTACTCGGGAGAGGATAAATTCACACTAGTAAGCAACTGGTAGTTTACCAATAATCATCTGTTGTTCCTGGAGTTGTACAGCCGAAAAGCAGCATGTGATGGGCTACGTTCATGGTGGCATTTGGTTCGAAACCGACTGAAATCAACAGGCATTGTTAATTCTATAAAATATTAAATGCTAAATGGAGTTTCATTTGAAAAATCTTAAGGAGTTCAATAGAAACAAAAAGTCGACCTTCAGGCGCGGTCGCGGTCAAAGATTGAGGGGATCATATTAGTACTAAAATAAGTCGAGTAGATTGAAAAAAATTTGCAGCGAAAACTGCGAGGTGTAGCCGTTTGGTTAGCGTGAGTGGTTCGTTCAACTCATTCAATCAATTGCTTTGTGAGAGTCAGATGCTACAAATGCAATACACATATATACAGACGGCTCAAAAACCAAAGAAGGCTCAGGATGTGGAGTGTACTCCGGATCACTAAGCCTAAGGATTAAGCGGGGAATGGGAAAAATACTAGCGTGGTTCAAACAGAACTAGCTGGTATCTCAATCGCCACAAAAGAAATAACCAGGAAAGGAATTTCTGCCAAAAACATAACAATCTGCACTGATAGTAGACAAGCCCTATTAGCCTTGAACAGACAACGTGTTTCATCAGGGCTAGTACTAGAGTGCCACCAAGATTTAGCCAAAGCCTCGGTAGATAATAACATAACCCACCTGAGGTGGGTTAAAGGGCACGACAGGAGCGGCTGGACTAAGAATTTTAGGACCCAGTGACACCTACGGCCTGATGACTTCGACAATTGGGGAACTACTTCACACCCATGCTCAATCTCTAAAGAGATGGGATGGAATCAAAGGATGCAATCTTGCCAGGATCACCCTGGGCGACTTTGGGAAGCTGGCGCCGAAGAAATACCTGGCGATGACCAGGAAAAATCTACGCTTAACAGTAGGATTTCTGACTGGCCAATGTCAACTAAAAAAACACCTCCATAATATGGGGCTAGTGGACACACCTCAATGCAGAATGTGTAAACAGGAATATAAAACTGTCAGGCATGTCCTATGCGAGTGTCCGGAGTTATCGTCAATAAGAGAGTGTTTGTTTGGAGAGTCTTGGCCTACGCCTGCCGATATAAAGGAGGAGTCTCCCAGTGACCTGTCCACCTTCCTGGAAAGGAAGGTGGACAGGTCATCCTCCTCGGGAGGATGTACAATGGGTCACATGTGGCCTAAGTACTGTGGGCCTACACTCATCCTACCTACTCTACAGATACAGAGTCGCTTTGTGAAGGTTGATTCGATTCTAATCATCAGACGATTGATGTTCACTGCACATCTTCCAATCCTTGCTAGGAATCGCACGTTAAGCAAGACCTCGGTAACCTCAACTCGTTAACTTCTGAGGGTTGACAGCTGGTTAACGGAAAATATCTTAAACATACACAAGATGTTGAAAAATATTCAACTTATTAACCTTAGTTCAATATTCAGAAGTAATGAGAATTGAAATGAACTTTCAAATCTAGAGAACTGATAATTCACAGTCTCTACATTTTTGGCGCTATTTAAGGGTTCATTCAACGATGCGGCAGACTCGATTTGTTAGTTCTTTGTGGTATGGGGAGAGACAGCTTAAAGCTTATCGCCCACTTGTCCGGCATAGCACAGCACGGCCCGTCCCGTCAAAATACGGATAGGATTGCAGCAATGAAAATGAATGGACAACCGCCCACTAGTCCGGCACGGTACAGCCAAGAGCGTCCATCGCCAGCCAGCGCTTGCCAGCATCAACTTGTCCAAAAGTGCCTGGGAAGTTTCAGTCTTTCTGTTTTGTGATTCTATCAGTTGACAGCACAGTGTCAGACGGTACCTATGAAAATGGACGATGAAAAATTGAGTTGAGTTGAATGCGGGCACTATAATGACGACTTTTTTGTCAGAACTGCTAGTGATAGACATATTTCCGTCACCGCTCGATTTCAAGTGAAATTCCCTTGAAATCGAACAAACAGCACCTTCAGTATGCTGGTTGTAGCTGGACAAGTGGGCGATGCTACTAACCGTTGTCATCAGGCGACGGACAGCGCCGTGCTGTGCTGTGCCGGACAAGTGAGCGACAAGCTTTGTATGGTCACAACGCTTACCGCCATCCTTAACAATACCTTGTGATCCACCAATATCAAGAATTACAATGTCGCCAACTTGATGGTGTCTAAAAAAACTACTTGCACTGTTTTTTCTACTCAAAGTACAAATACACTTTCGAAACACGTAGTAGAATTAAGCAGACTTTTGGAAATGGAGTTTTTCTAGATAAGGTTGATTTTTTGAATGGATACTTCCATTCTTTCTTCATGAAATATATTTCTTGATAGCAAGGTAGATAGAATGATTCATTTTTTAATGATATAACACTTTTACCTACTAGCACGGTGCTGGTAGTTGTACTTCAAAATTAACAATAGCCCCTGCAATATAACGCTATTTTTATATAACTTCATGAGATGTCCTCCTACTCATGCTCGTTTCTCTTTTCAGGCAAAACGAGGAGAGCACCAATGGTGGAGGGCCGTGCCTTCATGAATCGTCAATAGTTTCGACCAACCATGCCTGTATCAGCGCTGATTACGAGTTGACTATGATACTGAAGGAGATCCGATTTATCACAGATCAGCTGCGCAAGGAAGATGAAGCCGCGACAGTGACCAAAGACTGGAAATTCACAGCAATGGTGGTCGACAGATTGTGCCTTATTATATTCACTCTGTTCACTATCATAGCCACGTTAGCGGTGCTTTTCTCCGCGCCCCAGATCATTGTCTCGTAGCCATCCCGTCCCGAAGATCCAGATGCTCCGCTTTACGATTTTGATCATTTACCTATTCTAGATGTTCAACCATATTTATCCTAAAGACTCTTGAGCGAAATGATACATATCCTCAAATGCGATAGTGTTAACACTAGAAGAGATGTCGATGGCCTTAATACTGCATATTTTAAATTGATAAGTAAAATACCTGAATAATTTACCCTTTTTTCATTTTTGTTTCTTTCTGTCATTGATTAAAAAACAAACACTACCTTATCAGTATCACAGATAAAGCATTCGTTTGTTTCATATCGTTTTGTGTTGGTGTTGTCTGGAAAATTTGGTTGTTGCAATGTTTTTTTATGTATCTAATATGTCGAATGGTTTTTAAAATATTAATATTAACACAAAAAAATTACTTTTCGGTATGTAACTCAAATAAGAACTCATTATTTCTTGGAAGGTATTTCATTTTTCTTCATACTGAGGATCAGAGCTAATGAAAAAAGTTGCCTGACATCAAATGAACTCGATTTATACAGCTGTTTATTTGGATATGTTATTGATTTGCCCAATATGATTCATAAAATCCATCTATGAATTGTGTTCAAGTTTTTCAAGTGATTGTCAGTCACACCACCCCAACCTATAATGCCTTAGATGAGCTGTGGACAAGGATGTAGTAGAGTACGAGGTCGAGTTCTAAATAATGAAACTGCGCGCCTAGAGGGGTATTTGGAAATCTTCTCTATTCACGTACCAAAAGACGTTTTCGTCACTATTATAGTATTTGCGCAGTTGTAGTTTGAAACGAACGTGTCCTTTTCTCGTGCCGAAAAGCATGTGTGACGAAAAACAGGAGCAACGTATCAATCTCAAATTTATCGTTAAATTGAAAAAAGCTCCAATTGAGTGCTATAAATTGTTGCAAGAGGCCCGTGGGGACAATTCTCTATCTCGTGTGCATGTTTTTGAGTGGTGTAAGCGCTTCAGTGAGGGCAGAGAGAGCATTGAAGATTACCAGCGCCCAGGTCGGCCTGTCACTGTTTCAACTCCGGAAACAGTGACCAAAATCAACCAAATTGTGCATGCAAATCATCGAATGATCATCCGGGTTAGACGGTTAGAAAAATTATACACAAGGAATTACACATGACAAAAGTATGTGCGAAGTTGGTGCCAAAAAACCTGACTCCTGACCAAAAGCTCTTGCGACAACAGGTCTGCTCAGATTTCCTTGAAATCTCAGAAGAAGATCCCGGACTGATGAAAAAACATTTTTACTTGCGACGAAACGTGGATTTTTCAATACGATGTTGAAACACAGGGGCAATCGATGCATTGGAAGACGCCTGAATCGCCCAGAATCAAAAAAGCAAGGATGTCCAAATCAAAATTCAAAGCAATGTTGATCTTTTTTTTCGACATTAATGATATCGTGATGACTGAATGGGTTCTAGAGGGTCAGACTAACAACCAGACTTACTATTTGTCAGTTTTGGCAACACTGCGAGAACGAGTTCGTAAGAAACGGCCCGAGTTGTGGATTTTACACCAGGACAGCGCACCTGCCCATAACGCGCCCATACTCCCCAGATTTGGCACCGTGAGACTTTTTTTTGTTTCCGAAGATAAAATATGTTTTGAAAAGAATCCGATTTGAGTCGATGGAAGCGGTTAAGCTAAAAAACCGCAGAGCTCCTAAAGGCCCTCACCAAAGAAGACGTCCAGCGCGGAGAGCACCAATGGTGGAGGGCCGTGCCTTCATGAATCGTCAATAGTTTCGACCAACCATGCCTGTATATCTATTTAATCTAAAAATACACAGGCATTTACAAGAAAAAACTTTCATTCGCAAAATGTCTATACCTGAATTGTGCTCATTTTGTAAAGTCTTAGTCTAATGTAATGGAAATATAAGATATCCTATGATAATTTTCATATTAAGTTCACGTTTGAAAATTCCTAAAGGATTACATTGATTGACTGGAAGATTATTGTATTTCAAATTAACTCTACAAAATTTAAAATTTCATCGTCCAGGAAAAATTCGTACGATCAACACAAGTTGTATTAATTTTTTTGGTTTTACCAACTTCCTCACTACATGTTTTTTTGCAGGTCCCATTTCGGATGTCGATCAATTAATGATGCCTAAATAATCATTTGATTAAGTCTCGAAAATCTGCCAGTTTTGTTCGATCATCAGATGTATCATATTAGGAAGTCCATTCGAGTATGAAGAGAGTGGTTAAGTATTTTGCTTTTGTTGAATTCAGTTTCATAATATTATATCTAAACAATTTCTCTATAATCTCAAAATCATCATCACCCGCTAATTTCAAGAATTTGCATGAGCTAGATTTATAAAAAATAGCGGCGTTGTCCGCAAAACTTAAAATTTTGCCTTCAGTTTTTATATTTAGTAAGCTTTTAATATACAGAAGTTAAGAGGGTCTATTATCGTTCCTTGTGGTTCACACAAAGTTTCGCCAATGCGTACTCTTTGGTCAGAATTTGTCAAATAGCTCTTCAGAATTTTTTAATGTTTACTCTCATGCCATAGTTATTTCGTTTTTCTAGTTCTTGTGACTCATTTCCTTGATAAATATCGCGTACCTGCCAAGTGACAGTACGAGTCTTTCCAATAATTGGACATTGCCTCAACAATGAATAGCGAACAATTTCTTCAGTATTTTTCTGTTAACGTGTTCATCATATCTTTGAGATAATCTGATATTTTTTTCGAATCTAATGTTTTTTTTGTCAAAAAATACTTGTCAAATCACAAAGTAAAATACTTTCTGTTAACTAACATAACGATAATCGGAAAAATCAATCCTACTGCACCAATTAGTGGTGATGAGATATAAGATGTACAGCAAATGTCTATTTTTAATTTCACTGTATACAAGATTATGAAATTTTGGCAACTTGTTCATTTTTATACGTTTTTTCAGATGGACTGGTATGAATTTGGGGAGTTTCGTAACTTATACGACACCTTTTCTCAGACCGCACCTGATTTTCTTAAAATGTATAGGAATTATTGGGCNTTTTCTCAGACCGCACCTGATTTTCTTAAAATGTATAGGAATTATTGGGCCTAACCGCACTCCTTAGAGATCTCAACAATAATAATAACAAAATGATTAAAACTTTAGCGGCCGAGGTTTTCAATGTCATTATTTTTCGGCTTCTAAGGCCGAGCACTATTGGAATTTCTTCCCAACGTATCGCTGACGCGTGTAGCTAGCTTCTTCAGAGGTTTATATATCCTGAGTTTATTGTGATGACCGAATATTACGGCTCCGTAACGCATATTTATGTTGTGTCAGGTAGTTTGAAGTGCTGGACCAGGTAATTTGTCAGTAACATACATTGACCTTTCTCTACCTGCTGTTTGCTATCCTTGAACGTGGATGACACCTTCGTCATCTGGAAACATAGAAGAGACGCTCTGAACCTTTTCCTAGACCACTTGAATGCTCAACACCCTAGCATCAAGTTCGCCGTAGAGACTGAGTAGGATCAGCGGATAGCATTCCTAGATGTACTAATCAAACGATGTGGTACTAGATTAACCTATAAAATGTACCGAAAACCCACGCACACGGGCTCGAAGAATATGTGAACCAGAGTATCTAAAGGAAGAACTGGAACATCTTTAAGTGACCTTGAGATCCATCAGATACAATGTACCCGAGATCAACAAAGCCATGAAACTGAAGAGTCATACGGTTCAAAACGAGGATAAGGATCAGATGGTTGCACGCGCGTATCTACCATATATTCCTAGGGTCACAGACAGAATTAGAAAACTATTGGAAAACAGGTTTCAAACCCACTAGGAAGATACAACAAAACCTCAGGTCGGCTAAGGACAAAAGGGACCCACTATCAACAGCAAAGGTTTACCGTGGAAAGGTTCATATCGGAACTACCAAAAAATCCATGGGAACAGGGCTGAAGGAGCACGAAAGAAACTGTAGACTAGGCCAAACGGACGAGTCGGCGGTGGTAGAACACGCACTCAGTGAAGGAAACCACATGATTTTGTTTTGAAAACACAGAACTAATTGCTCCCAACCAGGGATATCATAGCCGACTGGTACGGGAGGCAATAGAGATCCACAAACACACGGGTAATTTCAACAGAAAAAAGGAAGCGGTGAACCTCACTCTAATATAGAATCCCATTCTAAGAAGTTCAAGGATAGCAAACAGCGTGACGGCAGGTAGAAAAAAGTCAATGTAGTTACTGACAAATTACCTCATTCAGGTACAGGTAAGAAATTCCAAAAGTGCACGGCCTTCGAACCCGAAAAATAATGACAATGAAAATAATGATTTGAAAACCCTATACTCACCTATGTAGAAACTTTTGTTGTCAATCACTCTCACGGGTGTGCATAAGTATAATTCGTCCTGAAACATAACTTGAATTAATATTGAAGAGTATGCAAGATAATTTTCTTAACAATAACGCCATCTATGAAATATACGTCGAAGCTTGGCTTCGCAACATACCGTCATCGGTGATCGTATTGGAGATTTTGATGTCATATTCTGGTAGAGAGTTGTTATAACTACTGAATGGTACGTAATAGGTTTTCTCAAAGTTAATAGATAAGAGCCTGTGGTCGAACCACAATTTGATTTGATGAAGGTCATGTTCTAATTTCTGTTTCAAATTTAACCAGTTTTCGTCTCCGCAAAACAGCACAGTATCATCGGCGAAACTCAGAATGTTGGAGTTGATGTCTTGTAGGAAAAGGTTGTTCAAGTAAATATTGAATAGAATTGGTCCTAACACCGTCCCCTGGGGTACACCACATGTAATAATTTTCTCTCCACTTATATGATTGCCCACTTTAACCCTTTGCTCTCTGTTATGAAGATAACTTTTGAAAAGATTTTTCGCTATACCTCTATTTCCCATATCGTTCAGAAGATTCAGTAAGATAGAGTGATCGACGGTGTCGAAAGCTTTCCTAAGGTCTACGAAAGCAGCAATAGAAGGTTTTGATTCATCCAAACATGAATAAATTTGCTGGGTTAGTTTTTTTATTGGGTTTTGGGTGGACATATTCTCTCTGAAGCCGTGTTGTGATTCTGACAACAACTGGTGTTTTTCAAGAAACATATTCAATCTCTTTTGAATAACCTCGAGAACTTTAGCAAGACTAGTTATGAGTGAGATTGGGCTATAGTTTGCCACATTGGTTTTTTATCCACTTTTATATATAGGCGTTATATCAGCCATTTTGAGAGCTGAGGGAAAACATCCCTACTCTAATGACATATTCGCTAGATGTGTTAGTGGTTTCGATATATAATCAGACACCAGTTATGTTATGTATTACTACAATAAGCAATCATCATGAGTCATAGAAGTGTTGAAATAGTCAGGAGGCCAAGACGACGAAGGTTCCGATCAGCAAGTAGGGGCCGCCTACCACAGAGAATTGTGGAGTAGTTGAGATGGGAAAACTCATCTTAAAAGCGCAATCTGCTGTTATTTGTAGATGGTTCATATCTCCAAACCCCTGAAGGTATGATTTTTTGAATTTTGTTCACGCGATTAGTAACAAACGTTTTTCATTGGTGTGGCGGAGAACGAATCCAAGTAAGATTAGTAGATGAATCTGACCAGGCAAAAATTCTTTCAACGTTTATTTTACTGCCAAAAACTCCCAAAATAAACGAGAAGAGCTCTGCTAGTAGGGTGGCACCACAAAGCTCAAGCCGAGGGATTCCATCCAGAAAAGAACCATCCACCTGATTGGAGACGCGAACATCACTTGCAACCTTGATAGCCTGGAACATCGAAGAAAGGTTGGAGATTTGTCTATCTTTGATAGATACTTTCACAGAAGATGTTCAAGTGACTTGGCACATTTGATTCCACCAAGAGCGGTACATATCAAAAATACACGATGGACTGTGACTGCTCATCGTTTCGAGGTTCAACTCAGTACACCTTGAACTTCACTGTTCAAGAACTCGTTCATTTGGAGAACTGGGTGTTTGTGGAATAAACTTCCTGAGAACGTTTTTCCAAATGGATTTAATCTCCAGCGATTCAAATTCCATGTGAATCGCTACTTTCGCACAGGCACCGCTCTGAGTCTTAAGGATTTTCCTGTAGTGCTTGTGTTTTGTCCTTGAAAAAATATCGAAAAATGTTTTTATGTCATCATTTATTGCTTTTGATCAGCTTGGCCGTCGACAAAAAAGGTTTATATAATTAGAGTTGGTGTGATTCGTCTGTTCCCTATTGGTCACCGCCAAGAAAAAAGGACATACGAAAATTATAACAGATACAGGTGAAAAAGCATTTTAGAAACAGAAATTGTGGAGAAGTTGAAAAAATAAGAAAGAAATACGTACAGAAAAACATAACAGTCAAGTGAAAATTGGTTGACAGTAATACAGGGCTTTTCATGATGAGCGTTAATTAGCCGTTTATGGCAAACTATTCAAGGGATCAACCTGAAAATTCCACAGTATGCATAAGTCAATATGACCTACACGCCTAAAATATTTTAGACGAAGCGGCGTTGTCGCTTCTACTATAAAGTAGCGGCTTCTTTGATTTTTCAAATGGAACACCCCGTATATAATATCATATTATGATTCATTATCACTTTGTCAACAAATTCATATAC